CAGGACCTGTTCTAAAATTCATCACCGTTATTTGACGGGGGGGTGGGGGGGTCGTGGGAATCGAACTCGGGTGACCGGGTGAGTCGCGCGGCGCTAACCACTGCGCCACCGCTCCCCCACCAAATGAACAATAAATGACAATAACGGAAAACCACCACCATCACCGCCGCCACCGCCATCACCGCCACCACCACCCACGCCTCCATTGTGTTTCTATTGTTCCTCGCCAGTCGTGGCGCCAAAGTTCCCCATCAGATTCAGCCCAGCTGAAGCACGCGGGCGTCAAGCGTAGGGGGGGGGGGACAAACTAAAAGAGGAGGGAGAGAGTGTGGGGGGGGGGCGGTGTTTTCTTTATGACGTCAGCGACCGGGGGGAGGGGTGTTCTTTATGACGTCAGCGACCGTGGGGCGGGGCGGGGTAGGGGTAGAGAACGCGACGAGCGAGGAGGTCGCAGAAGAGAGACGGTGGCATGCACGCGGGGGTGTGGGGGGGGGCACAAAGTCACGTGGCACCCAGCGGGGCCAAATACCACAAAGAAACACGAGCCTCGCGCGCGGTGAGATGGCGCCTTCGTTTTTAAAGCACAAAGTCAATAACAGAGAGGAAGGGGGACCCGAATAATGCAAAAAATTAATACAAATTTTCGTAATAATAATGATTATTACTATAATACTGTATTGATAATCATTATCATCTTGGCATCGGGGGGGAGGAGGGGCGCGTCACGAAATGAAGACGCGCGGAGAAACGAAGCCTCGTGGCACCGACTCGGCAAATAACAGCGGCAGTAATAATATCGACAGTGATAATAACAGCAATAATACAAATTATATCGTGTTGTGTATATTTAAGTTACTCTTATATAAACTATTGCCAAACTCATGCAGACTGTCAGAGCCACGCGGAGGTGGTGCAGGGCGGGGGGGGAGGGAACGAGGGGGGGGGGAGATGGGAGGGAGGGTCGTGCAGAGGTCGCAACCGGGTACCCGATACCCGTACCCTACCCGATACCCGACTACCCGTACCCGGCCGGGTACGGGTACCCGTTTGCGACCCTGGTGCAGCCGGGTACAGGTACGGGTAGGTCGTGAGTCACCGGTGAGTAACCGTTTGTCACTCATTTCGGGTAGGGTACGGGTACGGGTAGCGTACGGGTACCCGTACCCGGCCGGGTACAGGTACGGGTACCCGTTTGCGACCCTGGTGCGGCCGGGTACGGGTAAGGAATCAAAACCCGTTTGCGACCTCTGGGGTCGTCTGGGGTCGTGTTTGATAGGTGGCCCCAAGCCCCGAGCTCCCCTCGTGGCGGTGAGGGTGCACGTGGTCGGGGTCGTGACTTGACCCCCCAACCCAGCCCGACATTCCTAGTCTAACATCTTAACCCTAGCCCCCACCCCCTCCCCCCGCCCAATCATTAGCCCCAAATACAAACGTCTGAACCCCTAATCCCCATCCCTAGCCCCGACCTATAACGCATGTTTAACGCGTAGGCTTTTGCAACCAATATTATCCATCATAAAGGGTATTTCTTTTTGGGGTTAGGCATACTCTCTTGACGAACCTTACTAATTGGCTGTGTCGGGTGGCGGCGGGTTTAACGACACATTTAGATTTGCGCGATCTAACCCTCCAAAAAACCTTTATTATGGACTGTAACACTGAACTTAATCCGAACACAAGAGCTGATAATCGCCGAAGCCACAAACCCCAGTCCTTACTATAGTCGCAGCTCTAATCCTCAGACTAACCCCAAACACCGTCCTATTCACAGCTCTACTCCTATCCCTGGTCCTAACCATATCCCTCGTCCAGTTCCTGACCAAGATGCAGTCCAAGCCCTAATCCTATCCCTAGTTTCTAGCCTTCATCATAGACGACCCTTTAGCCCTAACCCCTAATCCTACCTCTAGCCCTCGCCTGGATCACGATCCCTAACGATTGCTGGAGCCCCAACACTATCCCTGGCTGTAGCTAAAAACCCCAGCCTTAACATTGTGCCCATAACCCTACCCCTAATTATATAACCCTACCTCTAATTATAGCCCTAGCTCTAGTCCTCACCCTATCCCGAATTCCTAGCACCTAACATTAGCCTAATCCCCTACCCTAGCCACAATCCTAACCCTACAGATGAATCTTGCCCCTATCTCCTAGCCCAGCCTAACACTACCCCCTTGACCCCATCCCATCCTGCACGGTGCAGGCCGCACCCCACCCTCCTCCCCACCCTCCCCACCTGCGCCACCCCACCTCCCCCTTTACCCAAGGTGTGCAAGTAGGCGAGGGGGGGGGGGGTCCGGCTTCACCTGAGACGCGAGGAAGCCCTTCTAACAGTAGTGGCGGGGTCAGCGGCATATTGGCAGGGGGGGGGGAGGCAGCTCCAGCAACTGCTGTCAGAATGTCTCTACAATCGTGAGCGAGGTTTACATTCCAGACGCCTCGGGACAAAACCTCCCCACCGCCACCACCACCACCACGAACCACCGAGTCCCAGGGCGGCTGGAGCCAGGGAGTTAATGAATGGTCGTCAGGCGAGGGAGACTATCCACCGGACGTTAAGCCGCCTCGACAGGTCACCTGAGCTTGCAGATCGCTCATCTCAGCGAGCAGTTGCGCAACGAGGGGCGTGTCCGGGCGTGGTCTCAGTGTCTGGTCGAGGTGATGAAACACGTGGCTTACATATCCCTGAGCGGATCGAGGCTGGAGAGTTCAGAGTTCGTCGCAGCGACGTCCGCATGCAAGCGATTCAGTTGCGCACAGCCAACGTTGTGTGCAACTGATTGATCACCCGTGGAGCCGACTTTCTAACTGATTCATCGTCCCAGCTCTAAATGTATAGGGCGCCACGGTGGCTAGGAGATGTTAACTCCCTCGCCTGAGATACAGGAGGTCGTGGGTTCGATTCTGACCCTGACGCCTGTATATCTGGAGTTTGCGCGTCTCTCTCCCCGTGGTCGCGTGGGTTTTTCTCCGGGTCCTCCAGTTATTCTCTCCACGTTTAAAAATCAACATGCGTTTAGCGTGTTTGGCTGTTAGAAATGTCCACGTGATAAGCCACTTCGTTGAGCTATCTTTTTGTGGCCAGGTCGCTTCTGAGAAAGAGCTATACAGTAGCTCAGTAGGCCTGGTCAAATCAAAATTAGCTTAGTTTAAATTTCGATTTAAAGCTTTCGTGACTGCAGGGATTCATCTTCTTGGTTCTTTCGGTAAAGTCACGTAGAATGGAAATAATAAAATAATAAAAATAAAACATAATAAAATAATTCTCACGACGTTTCGGCCACAACGCAGTCAGACTCTGTCTTCTCGACAGACCTGTTCTTCACCTGAGGACGGCTGCTTGCGTTGAGGCCGAAACGTCGTGAGAATTATTTGATTATGTTTTATTTTTTATTATTGTATTATTTCCATTCTACGTGATTTTACCGAAAGAACCAAGAAGATTAGTTTAGTTTGTTACACCAGAATTGTATTTATAATAGAGCGAGAGATCATTTCGCACGTGGAAGGAAACTGGAGTGCCTGGAAACCCCTCCCCGCTCCCCGCATGCGTGCAGTTACACAACACAAACCCACTTGCTGTACTGACACGTCCCTCCACATCGGCACTACCATCATTTTGGCGATTCACCAATCCTACCGGGAAGCGCCTGGAATCGGCAGGAATTGTAGCTGCCCGACCCGGCTAGATTCCTGGACGCGTTCTGGAGGTTCGCGCTGGAAACACGTGGGAGGGGGTAGGTCCCACGGATGGACTGGCCCCTGCCATGGGAATGTGGAATTTTAAACCACTAGCTGGGGGGGCGGAGTGGAAAGTGGTGGGGGTGGGGAAGGGGGATAGGTCGGCGAAGATGATCGACGCTCTGACAGTTTTCGTTTTGGTTGAGAGTGAAAGTGAAGCAGTGCTACGAGACGAACATCCACAGTCATCAGCTCTCAGTGTCCCACACACCGTACAAAATGGAAGCGCAAATGTCCACGTGTGTGCTCAAGTGTGCGCGTGCTCACGTGTGCGTGATTGAGTGTTCACGTGTCTTCAAGCGTGTGCGTGCGATCCAGTGTTCGTGTGTGCGTATGATAAAGTGCTCATGTGTGTGTGTGCCTACGTGTTCATGATGTTTCCGCACTGCACAAGTGAGTGTGTATTAATGTGTGTGCGTGCGTGTGTACACGTTCATCTGTGCACGCATGTTCCTCTGTGTTCGCGTGCGTACGTGCGTGTAATTAGGTGTTCACATGTCACTGTAAGTGCGTGCGTGCGTGTGCGTGCTCATGGCCGTACGTGTTTACCCAGTAAACATGGAACGTCGATCCAACGTCCGGCACATTTACCAGATATACGTGCATTAAGTGTCCGTGTGTGTGTTCAAGTGCGTTGGCGTGCGCGTCCCGAGTGTCCGCACGCGCGTGTGCTCTTAGGGCCATCTTGGGCCTGCGTCGTGCGGGATTCGCGACTCGCGCCATCTCTGCCCCGACCTTTGCCGCCTCCGTGAGCGGTCCGAACAATAAATAAATAACGACAACTTAAGACCAGAAACGGCATGCTCTTCAATTGCATCGCTGACACCGTGGAACGAAATGGGTCCTCGTGAGGTCAATAGGTCAATACGGGTCGCGGGTCAGCGGCTGCCCCCGTAAGTGGGAGGTGAACCCGCGTGACGTCGCAAGCTGCCCAGGTGGTTCGTTCCCAGGGAAAACAGAGGCCCCCCAATGTCAATAATGTAGTTTCCGACGTCCTCTCTTCTCTCGCGTCGATCCCTGGTTTTACTCAGGTGCTGCCCCACGGGGCTCGAGATGATTCACACAAACGACCGGATCCAATCCCTGAGCACAACAATAAATCCAACCCGCGTTGTTTTTTTTTCCGTTTCCCTTCAGAGCCCCGAGCTCCTAAATTTCGCGTGGAGTCCGTGTTGCTCAGTGAACGGCAACAGAGCCTTCATTTCACTTCGTTGGGGGCAAAACGTGGTGTGGTAGGTTGGATTTGGGACCTCTCTCGGCATGAGCTTCTTGAACTAGGGGAGCGAAGTTCAGCATGGTGAGGTCGGGAGGTTACGTGGAAAAGTGGGACAAAGTGCAGCCCCCACCCCCCATCCAACATCGGCCTTTCGTCCTTTGGCCCACACACAACTCCGCCGTGTTGCCTGGCAGGCTTCGGGCCTTGTGCATCTCACGAAGGATTTAACTGAGACCCTGAATAATGAATCCACATTCTCGGTTTCCATTTTACCGTTCACATTTCTTCCGTCAGACTCTCCCGTTTGACAATTAGAAGAACTCCCCCCCCCCCCCCCCCCAATACACCTCATTGGTTAAAACAAAAGTTAAAGGCTGTTCGCACGCGACGACGATGCCTCCGGCCGCTTTTTTGGCGGTTGGTTCTCCCAAGAGGCCGAGCGGCAAAACGGGCACCGAGGTGGCGACGTCAAAACCAATACGGCGGCAGAACCAAGTTAGCGGCCCCAAAAATGGGTAGCAAAACCAGGATGGCAGCACCAATATGGCAGCCACAAAACGGTGACGAAACCAGGACAACGGCGGCGGCAGCAGCAGCAGCAGATCGACGAAAAGGGACAGAAAACCCCAAGATGTACGCGACAAAATGGCGGCCCCGAAATGGCAGTAGCACCAACAATGGCGGCAACGGCATGGCGGCAACACCCAAGATGGCGGCGTCAGGGGGCGGCACCAAGATGACGGCCGTACAAAAATTTGGCCGCGGCGGCGGCGCCGAGAACTCGGTGTGGTAGAAACACGGCGGCTGCGGTGGCCTCCCCTAGAGTGAAGTTTCGAAGCTGTGGAAGGGGCTGCCGGGGCTGGAGGAGGCGGTGGCTGATTTGCTGGCGTCCTCCGTGCTCAGGAAGCTGATGCCGCTGTCGAGGCCGCGGCGCTCGAGGCCGTACGGCTGCAGGTTGAGCTGCTGGTGGCGGTCGTGGTGGTTGTGGTTGTTGTTGCGGTTGGGCGACGGCCCGCCGAGACCCGCGACGGGCCGCAGCCCGTCGTTGCGCTTGGTGGGCGCCTCGTCCTCGTCCGCGTCCGTGTCATCGATGAGTGGGATCTGCGGTGTGGCGTGCTCGCCCTCCGTGAAGTCGGGCTGCGACATGAAGTTGTGGATGGACGTTCGCGAGTCCGGTTTCTCCAGCCCCTCGTACAGCGAGCTCCGGAACGCGTTCACCACGCGGATCTGCGTCCAGAGGGGGGGAGGGGAGGTGAAAACGCGACACGGCGTCATTTGCCAGCAGTCGTCCCCGCGTCTACACCGGTAAACGTGGAAAGTCGGGCCTACGTTAGCCCGACGGTTTCAACCTCATGCGAACATTGGCCCAGTGTTGGCAATGTTTACTGAGAGTGGGCATCTATCAAGAGTGTGAGCTAGTAGACTGGAGTAGGTGGCACGTGACTTGTGGACAGTAGCCACTGTGGGTGTCATGGGTGCCCCGGCACCCCCAACATGTCGAGACACGAGTCTCGGTACTGAGTTAGTCGCCAGTGAGCGCACAGAAAAACCAAGACAAAGATCCCCCGCCTTGACATACTGTTGGACAAGTGCTGTTAGCGAGCACCTATGAAGACTGGAACGGCACACGAGGTGGTGGGTGGCCAGCACCACGCCCGGCCGCCTTTGTCTCCCCAGTGGCGATGTTTACACACCGCACCAGGTACTCGTTTGAGGCTGAGCCGACGTAGGGGAGGCCTAGGACCGGTTCAGATAATCATCACCGGTGTTGGTGGCTGTGAGGGGGAATCGAACCCGGGTCACCGGGGTTCGTAGTGCAGCGTAGCGCGAACCGCTACACTTCCGTGTGAGCACACACACCCACACACACACACACGTACACACCCACGTACACACCCACGTACACACACCCACGCACGCACACACGCACACACACCCACACACACACCCACGCACACACACACGCACACACCCACACACACACCCACGCACACACCCACGCACACACGCACACACATCGACACACACACGCACACATCGACACACACACGCACGCACACGCGCACACGCACACACGCACACATCGACACACACACGCACACATCGACACACACACCCACGCACACACCCACGCACACACGCACACATCGACACACACGCACGCACCCACCACGCACACGCACCCACCACGCACACACGCACACACCCACACATCGACACACACATCGACACACACACGCACACACCCACGCACACGCGCGGGTTAGAGCAGAGCAACCGCTGGGGGGCGCGCCCGGGTTAGCGGCGTGATCGAGGTGGGGGTGGTGGGGGTGGTGGGGGCGTGAGCGGAGATGAAACGAGCGAGGCAAAGGTGGTGAGTTGAACAAGGAGGGTTAGTTAGACACGGCGGCACTCGTCAGCACCCACGGCAGCAGGAGCTGCAACAGGAGGAGTGGGGGAGGAGGGGGGGGGGCATCAGTGAGTAGAACACGCGACGGCTCGCACTGCAAACCGGGACCGGCGAGGTCTGAGCTGCAAACTCAGATAACCCTCCCCCCCCCCAGTGCCGGATTATCCTAGTAGCACCACAAGTAGCTACGCAAGTAGCTACATAAGTAGCTACATGTGGGCTACTTATGTCGCTACACAAGTAGCTACACAAGCTACGGGCCCCGCACTTTCAAGGGCCCCGCGCTAAATGCTTTCAAGCTGTCAATTCCGGTTGAGTAAATCTGCACTTGCTCTATTACTATAGTACTATACCGCCTTCAACATTTATGAACGACTGGGTGTTTAAGGTTAGCGATTTTGTCGTATTATCTGGCTTAATTACAAATTTTAAAATACAATTACTTTACTATGCAAGTAAAAAATGTGTTTTAATATTTACGCTTTTTATTTATTTAGGGCCCCTTTATAACATATGCTACAGGCCCCGCAGTAGCTTAATCTGGCACTGCCCCCCCCCCCCCAAAGCAGGGTCCAAGCATTCAGGCGAGGTTTAGGGCTGCGTAAACCCTGACGCTGTCCTTGAAACGACGCCAAATAATCATCATCGTCATCATCATTATCATTAGATGCAGCCAATCCACTGGTGGATGAAGGCCTCCTCAATGCACTGACATCTGCGGCGATCCCGCAAACGTTCAACGTTCCCCACGAAGCTGGAACCAAACCCGGCTTGGTGGAGCCTCGGCAGCAGCTCCTCGTTTGGTTTGGTCGGAGCTTTGATTTCTAACAGCAGCCCAAGGCAAGGTCTAACCAATGTCGTGGGGCTACGCTTGGACTGAGCCCTGACCCTAACCCTTGCCAGAAATCTACACCTAGCCAAAGCCCTAATCCTAGCCAGAGCCCAAATAGCCCTCAACATTGCATTAGTCCTTACCGTAGCCAAAATATCGATGTTAACCCTAGGCATAACCTGAATCATAATCTTAGTCCTAACCCTCGCTCTCATCCTACTGATACGCCTAACCCTAACCTTAACCCTAACCCTCATCCTCCTGATAGTCCTAACCCAAGCCCTAACCTTAACCCTAACCCTCATCCTCCTGATAGTCCTAACCCTAGCCATAACCCTAACTTTATCACTAAATCTAGCCCGAACTCTAGCCCTAACCCTCATCATACTGATAATCCTAACCCTCATCATACTGATAATAATCCTAACCCTAGCTCTAACCTGATTTATCTCCCTAACTCTAGACCTAACCCTCATCATACTGATAATAATCCTAACCCTTGCTCTAACCTTAATTATCTCCCAAACTCTCGACCTAACCCTCATCATACTGATAATCCTAACCCTAGCCCTCACCTTAACTTTATCCATAACTCTAGCCCTAACCCTCATCCTACTGAGAGTGCTAACCCTAGCCCTCACCTTAACTTTATCTCTAACTCTAGCCCTAACCCTCATCCTACTGAGAGTGCTAACCCTAGCCCTCACCTTAACTTTATCTCTAACTCTAGCCCTAACCCTCATCCTACTGAGAGTGCTAACCCTAGCCCTCACCTTAAACCTAACCCGAGCCCTTGGCTAGCCCAGCCACTCCCCGAGAGTGGCTGGGCGAGCCCCGTGGGACACCGCACGCGTGTGAGAGAGCCACACAAGCAATCAGCATTAGTGTACGACCGTGAAATTCTGCAGTCTCAGTCCCTGCCTCCCAAAAGACAACATTTGATCCCCCCATGTCACCGGGACTTGCCTCTTCGTTTGCCAAAATAAATTGCCAGGTTGGGCATTTATATAAAATTAAAAGAATAAAAGCAAAAACTCCATTAGATTTAAACGTTGCAACAATAGATTTAGTTCAAAGGTATTATTTGACCCAGGTCAAAGGTTAAGTTGGACGACAACTCGTCATCAATACCACAGCTGCCCGCTTTGTTGCGGTGGGAATGAGCCATGAATCGACATCGGTTCGGTGAGCCGTGCGACCGAGGTAGGGACTGATTCACGGCGGGGGGGCGGGGGGCGGGGGGGGGGGGCAAAGCAAAAGAGCTTCTTGCAAACGTCGACGACGGTACTCACGCCGTCATGGGGAAGAGGGGGGAGCGGGGTGGTGAGGGCACTCAGGACGAGTGGTTAGACGTCTGTTAAGAGAAAGACGGTGGTCAGTGTGGGAGTGGACGGAGGGGTGTTAAGATCGGGGGAGGACCACTCACGCCACGGACCATCGACACTGAACAGCAACGAGATAACACGCGAGGAGGTGACACGGACAGGCGGTCGTAACCGGGTATCCCAGCATGCTTTGCATGTCAAGGTGACACCAACGGTCCTAAGTAGCGCATAAATTGCAATTTCGTGTCCATTTATATATTAATTTTTGTCATTTACTCCCGCGATTTTATGGCAACCGCTCAAGCGGCAGTCACCCTTCGTGCTATCGGAGAACGGAAGCGGATATCAAAGAACTAGCACCAAGACCCCTTCGAGTGACCGCCCGCTCCAAGCACGGCAGCGTGGGTGCCACCCTCCCCACCCGTTGCTTTCAACCACCGCCCCCCCCTCACCCCCGCCGCCCCCGGTTGAAATTTGACCCTCGCACATCCACGCAGGACGATCCGCGCGACGCGGCCACCCTGACGGACCCTGCTCGACGACTCGGAGGAAAAGGGGGCGGGGGGGGGGTGGAAATCGGGCCGAGAGCCGACCGGCAATCTGAGCCGCAGGAGACGCCGCCGGAGGAGGCGACGGTAGCGGCTCGCGCGGCCGACTCCGCGTCGCCCTGTGGCGGAACGCGCGACGCGGCGCAGAGACTACAGCGGGTGGGTGCGTGGGGTGGTGGGGGGGGGTTACTCCGTCGGACGCGGCGCGGGGACTTGAGGGGGTGGGTGCGTGGGGAGGTGGGGGGGGTTACTCCGTCGGATGCGGTGCGGGGACTACAGGGGGTGTGTGAGTGGGGAGGTGGGGGGGGTTACTCCGTCGGACACGGCGCGGGGACTACAGGGGGTGCGTGCGTGGGGAGGTGGGGGGGTTACTCCGTTGGACGCGGCGCAGGGACTTGAGGGGGTGCGTGCGTGGGGAGGTGGGGGGGTTACTCCGTCGGGCTGTGCGCTGGAGAGAGAGCCCTGCTTCTTGAGCGAGGGGCGCCGCGGAGCCGCGCCGCCCGTCAGGAACGTGTTGAGCGAGTTTATCTGTGGGGGGGGGGGGGGGGGGCGGGGGGGTCAGGAGGAAGGGGGGCGGGGGTCAATGGGAGGGGGGCACTTGCGGTCCCCGGCGGTGCGCGGGGGGAGGCATGGTGTGGTGTGCGGTGGTGTGTCGTGGTGGTGTGTGGTGGTGTGTGGTGGTGGTGTGGTGTGTGGTGGTGTGTGGTGGTGGTGTGTGGTGGTGGTGTGTGGTGGTGTGATGGTGGTGTGTGGTAGTGTGTGGTGATGGTGGTGTGTGGTGGTAGTGGTGGTATGTGGTAGTTTGTGGTGTGGTGTATGGTGGTGTATGGTGGTGGTTTGTGGTGGTGGTGTGTGGTGGTGGTGTGGTGTCTGGTAATGTGTGGTGGTGTGTGGTGGTGGTGGTGTGGTGTGTGGTGGTGTGTGGTGGTAGTGGTGTGTGGTGGTGGTGGTGTGTGGTGGTGGTGGTGGTGTGTGGTGGTGATGATGGTGTGGTGGTGGTGTGTGGTGGTAGTTTGTGGTGATGGTGTGGTGGTGGTGGTGTATGGTGATGGTGTGTGGTGGTGGTGTGGTGTATGGTGGTGGTGTGCGGTCTATCTCGTATGACCAGGTGAGAACTCGAGAACGCAGGGACCAGGATGAGACTCATTTGCGAGCTGTTAATCTGCCAATGGGGAGCGCTGCTGCGTAGTCCCAGCTGAGTACATTGGTGGCGGTGGTGGCCGGCGGCCGCGGTTGATGCCGCCTGGATGTGGCGCAGGGTGGCGCGCTCGCCCGCGCGGACGGTGCAATGCGGCGTGCCGTGGCGCGGTGCGCTTGGGCAAGGTGCGGTGTGCGGTGCGGTGACGAACCTGCGTCTGGATGCGGTGCAGGCCGCGGAACCACAGGATCTGCCCGTGCCGCATCTCCCTCTCGGCGTGGTCGATCTCCTCCTCGTCGTCCGGGCCCTCGTCCGGAGGGGGCGAGCGGGGGGCCCGGCCCCCCCCCGCGTCCCGCAGGCACCGCAGTCGTGCCGTCGGCACCGCCGAGATCAGCTGAGCACAAGGGCGATGGCGGTCCCCCACATTAGCGAACGCCTATTAAGGGCCTGGACGTCCTCACGCGAGTGGGGCAGAGACGGGGGGGTGGGGGGGGGGGCACTCCGAGAGCCAGGTGATAGCGGTCCTCACCAGTGTGTGTGTCACCTGTGTCACTAGTGTGTGTGTCACTGTGTGTGTGTGTCACTGTGTGTGTGTGTCACGTGTGTGTGTGTATGTCACATGTGTGTGTGTGTGTCACGTGTGTGTCACCTGTGTGTGTGTCTGTGTCACCTGTGTGTGTGTGTCACGTGTGTGTGTCACGTGTGTGTGTGTCACGTGTGTGTGTGTGTCACCTGTGTGTGTCTGTGTCACCTGTGTGTGTGTGTCACCTGTGTGTGTGTCACCTGTGTGTGTGTGTCACTGTGTGTGTATGTCACTGTATGTGTGTGGTCACTGTGTGTGTGTGTCACCTGTGTGTGTGTCACTGTGTGTGTGTCACCTGTGTGTGTGTGTGTGTCACCTGTGTGTGTGTGTCACGTGTGTGTGTGTGTCACTTGTGTGTGTGTCACTGTGTGTGTGTCACCTGTGTGTGTGTGTCACTTGTGTGTGTGTCACCAGCGAGCGTGTGTCACTGGTGAGTGAGCGCATGCGTGTCGCGCTGCTGCGCGTGGCGCTGCTGCGCGTGGCGCTGCGGGCGAGGTGGGCGCGTGCGGAGGCGCCGTGTGTGGGTGGGTGCTGCCGGGGCGGGCCCCCTCACCTGGCCCCACAGTAGCTCGCCAGCGCCCAGGAAGATGCACCACAGCCAGTGCTCGGGGCTCAGGCCCGAACAGCTGAACGGCTTCCCCCCAAACTGCACGATCACCACCTGCGGCACAGGCAGCGCGGGGGGGGGGGGGGGTGAGCGAGGGGCCGTGGTTTGCGGTGGGGGGAGTGGTTGAGGTGGGGGCTGTTGGGGTGGTGGGGGTGGTGGTGGAGTTGGGGGCGGTTTGGGTGGTGGGGGCGGTTGGGGCGGTGGGGGGAGTGGTGGAGGTGGGGGCGTTGGGGGGAGTGGTGGAGGTGGGGGCGGTTGGGGCGGTGGGGGGAGTGGTGGAGGTGGGGGCGTTGGGGGGAGTGGTGGAGGTGGGGGCGGTTGGGGCGGTGGGGGGAGTGGTGGAGGTGGGGGCGTTGGGGGGAGTGGTGGAGGTGGGGGTGGTTGGGGCGGTGGGGGGAGTGGTGGAGGTGGGAGCGGTTGGGGCGTTGGGGGGAGTGGTAGAGGTGGGGGCGTTGGGGGGAGTGGTAGAGGTGGGGGCGGTTGGGGCGGTGGGGGGAGTGGTGGAGTGGTGGAGGCGGTTGGGGCGTTGGGTGGAGTGGTGGAGGTGGGGGCGGTTGGGGCGGTGTGGGGGAGGTGGGGCCGTTGAAGGAGGAGGAGGGCGATGAGGAGGAGGAGATGACCAGGCCGATGAAGACGGTGATGAATGACGATGAAGAGAAGGCGGTGAGGAGGAGGAGGACGGGAGTAAACCTGCACGACGAAGGTTCCGAAGACGATGGAGCAGAAAATGGGGTTGCGGAAGACTCCGTGGAAGACGTTGCGCTCCCCGTGGATCTTGCGCGCGTTGATCTCGTTGAAGAGCTGCATCATGACGAAGGCGTTGAAGATGATGGTGTAGTGCTCCGAGGGCGGCGCGTGCAGCGGAGCGTTGCGCCCGCTGTCCACGTCGAAAATCCGCTCACCTGCACCGAAGACAGAGATCCCCCGCGTAGCCTTAACCGACTGTCGGGACAAGTGCACCTACGAAGGCCGGCACGTCGCACGAGGTGGTCGGGGTGGCCAGCACCACGCCCGGCCGCCTTTGTCTCCCCAGTGGCGATGTTCACACGTCGCACCAGGTACTCGAGCGGCAGTCACCCTTCGTGCTACCGGAGAATGGCTGGTGGAAGCGGACATCAAAGAACTAGCTCGAGCGACCGTCCGCTCCACCAACACACGCACAGCAGCGTGGGCGCCGCTGTGCGTGTGTTGGTGGCTTGGGTCGCCGGATTCGCAGCGCAGCGCGCTAACCGTTGCCCCGCCGGTCCACACGGGTACGCCACGCGCACACGGACGCACGCGCGGGTTCCCTGCGCGAGGCCCACCGGCGAAGAGCAGCGTGAAGATGACGGTGAGCTGGTAGATGGCGTGGCCCAGGATGTTCTTGGTCATGGTGAGCGACACGAGCGGCTTGTTGCGTCCGTACGGCCGGCGCAGCAGCAGCTCCTCGGTGGGCGGCTCCGTGGCGAGCGCCAGCGACGCGAACGTGTCCATGATGAGGTTCACCCACAGCATCTGCACGGCCTTGAGCGGGGAGTCCTGCAATGCGCGGTCCGCGGTGACGGTGGACGGGAGGTTGCGGGGGAGGGGGGGTGTGGGGGGGCGAGGGGTTAGAGGCCGGAGAGACACGAGGGCGGCCCATGGTGAATGCCTGGGCCAGGCCACGAGCCTCCGGTGGCGTTTCACGGTCGTGGCCCCCGCCCGAGCGGTTGTGTCACTTCTCGTCGTCATCATCGTCATCATTATCATTATCTTCGTGATCATCATCATTGTTATCATCGTCACCATTGGCACCGCCTGGAGTTTGGGTTTTATGTTTGTCGTGCAGTTGGCAGCTCCTGCACGGACCGATTCGTCCCAGGTGAGTTATAGATCGCAGGTGAGACACGGGTCACAGGTGAGATACAGGTCAAAGGTTAATCGCAGGTAAGATACAGGTGAGCCACAAGTCACATGTGAGATAGAGGTAACAGCCAAGTTCCAGGTCACGGGTGAGGCACAGGCAACAGGTGAATCCCAGGTCACAGGTGAGATACAGGTGACAGGTTCATCACAGGTAAGATGCAGGTGAGCCACAGGTCACATGTGAGATAGAGGTAACAGCCGAGTTCCAGGTCACGGGTGAGGCACAGGCAACAGGTGAATCCCAGGTCACAGATGAGTCACAGGTAACAGGTGAGATACAGGTCAAAGGTTAATCACAGGTGAGATACAGGTGAGTCACAGGTAACAGCCGAGTCCCAGGTCACAGGTGAGATACAGGTCAAAGGTTAATCGCAGGTGAGATACAGGTTAGTCACAGGTAACAGCCGAGTCCCAGGTCACAGGTGAGATACAGGTCAAAGGTTAATCACAGGTGAGATACAGGTGAGTCACAGGTAACAGCCGAGTCCCAGGTCACGGGTGAGACGTCGGTGCGGCGCCGCGTCGCCACCTGAGTGAAGCAGGCCCCCGTGAAGGCGACGATGACGGCCACCACGTTGACCGTGAGCTGGAACTGCAGGAACTTGGAGATGCTGTCGTAGACGTTGCGGCCCCACATCACCGCCTTCACGATGGAGCTGAAGTTGTCGTCCGTCAGGATGATGTCCGACGCCTCCTTGGCCACGTCTGTGCCCGCGATGCCCTGCGGGGGTGACCGGGGCATCAGGGCCATCGGCGCAAGGGGCCCGCCGGCGTGGAGGGAGCTCCGGGGAGCGCCGCTCTGGACGGCGTTTGGCCCCCACCCCCCACCCCCCCCCCCCACCCCTCCCCCCCCGACTCTCACTCGGCTCACTCCACGTGGCTACTCGCGGTCATGTGGCGGTGAGCGCGGGATCTATGGGACCTTTTTTTGTCAGTTTCAAAAATGATTAAAAATAAGAATAGGTTTTACCCTCTCTGGCAATAAAACAGGACTTGTGTTAAGATTTTGATTTAAAGCTTTCGTGACTGCAGGGATTCATATTATTGGTTCTTTCGGTAAAGTCACATAGATAAAAAAAAATTCCCTTCTACAAGAATTTACCGAAAGAACCAAGAATATTTATGTTAAGATGTTCAAACACCCAAATAGATACCACACGTGCTTGTGGCAAAACGTGCAAACAAACATGCTGTGATAATAATGCATTGCCTTTGACGCCCAAAGGCGTTCTCTCGTCTGGTGAGACGAGGCCATGCAGAAAGCTGTAGGCCAATCAGTTTCAAAGACAATGCACGCATTATCAGAGCGTTTCTGTTTGCATGTTTTGCCACGAGCATGTGTGGGTGAGTACGGGTGAGCGCGTGTGAGGGTGGTTGAACGTGGGTGAGCGTGGGGAATTGTGAGTGAGCGTGGGTGAGCGCGGGTAAGCGTGGGTAAGCGTGGGTGAGCGTGGGTGAGTGTGGGTGAGCGTGGGTGAGCGCGGCGGCGGGGCATCACCATGGCGAAGCCGACGTCGGCCTTCTTGAGCGCGGGCCCGTCGTTGGTGCCGTCGCCCGTCACCGCCACCACCTGGCGCTGCCCCACCGTGCTGTCGATGATCCCTGTTCAACGCCGCCACGGGGGTCAGCACGGGTGGGGAGGGGGGGCGTCGGAGGGGGGTCACGTGGAGGAGTCGGTCGCAGGGCACGCAGGGTCGAAGGTTAACGGGGGGGCGGGTCGCAGCCCTCGCGCGTGCCCGGGGGGGTCGAGCGTTCGCTGTAGGGTCGAGGGCCACCGATCGCCGGTCTCATTCGTCCCGGTGCCGCCACTCGCTTTGGCCAAATTGCAGCCGTGAGAGTGAGGACGTCGGCTCCACCGTCGCGCGGCGGTCGCCACTCTCGGCGGCGGGGCGAGTGGGACAGTGCTGCCCCCTACTGCGTCAACCAGAGGGCACCTGACCGGAACTCGGGAGGTAGCTCTGCGTTATCCGCTTCCGCGGGCCCGTCCTGTGACGCACGGAGAGTGGCGCGCCGCTCAAGCGAGGATGCCGTGACGGGGGTTCTCCGTCGCGATGCGGACGCCGACTCCGCAGCTCGGTTCAATTTGAGCGGGGGAAAAAGACGAACAAAATATCTCCAAAGGTCGTAGGTCGGAGATAGCGTGCAGCATGTTGCCGAATGCACGTGTGAATGAGTGAGTGAGCGAGTGAATGAGTGAGTGAGCGAGCGAGTGAATGAGTGAATGAGTGAGTGAGCGAGTGAATGAGCGAGTGAATGAGTGAGTGAGTGTATGAATGAGTGAGTGAATGAGTGAGTGAGTTAGCGAGTGAATGAGTGAGTGAGTGAATGAGCGAGTGAGTGAGCGGGCGAGCGACACTCACCTTTGACGAGCGTGTGTTTGTCTGTGGGAGAGGAGCGAGCAAGCACTCGAAGCTTGGGCCAGATCTTGTCGATTCTCTCCTGCTCTATCTGTCCCATGGCACAAGGGGAGGGTAGGGGGTGGGGGGAGTGGGGGGGGGCGGGGGTGGGGGAGCACACGACGCTCCCGTCACTAGACGCGACGCGGCGGTGGTGGCGGTGGTGGTAGCGGTGGCGGTGGTGGCGGTGGTGGTGGCGGTGGTGGTGGTGGTGGTGGTGGTGGCGGTGGTGGTGGCAGCGGTGGCGGTGGTGGTGGTGGCGGTGGTGGTGGCGGTGGTAGTGGCGGTGGAGGTGGTGGGGGTGGAGGTGGTGGTGATGGTGGTGGAGGTAGTGGTGAGAGTGGTGGTGGTGGTGGTGGAGGTAGTGGTGGGAGTGGTGGTGGTGGTGGAGGCGCTATTCGCTGTGGTGGTTGAGGCGGTCGATGTGCAGAAAATCCCCCAGCCCGGCGTCATCACGTGGGGTCAGTGACTAATTGCAGCAGCTCGTCGCCTCCATCGTCATGATCGTCGAGCTACGACATCGCCTTCTAATCGCCAAATCTCGGAAGCAATGAGGTCGGCTTGCAGGTGAGCGAGTGAGTGAGTGGGTGAGCGGGTGAGCGAGTGAGTGAGCAAGTGAGTGGGTGAGTGAGTGAATGAGCGAGTGAGTGAGCTAGTGAGTGAGTGAGCGAGTGAGTGAGTGAGTTAGCGACTGAGCGGGTGAGCGAGTGAGTGAGCGAGTGAGTGAGCGAGCGAGTGGGCGGGCAGGCGCTCGCCTCTCCCTTATCGTTGCGGATTCGCCGGTTGAACTCCTTCCCCTCGATGCACAGGAAGTCCTCCCCGGGCGTCAGGATGCCGCACTTGCTGGCGATGGCACGCGCCGTGCTGATGTTGTCGCCCGTCACCATGCGCACCGTGATGCCCGCACGCTGGCACTTCCGGATCGCATCTGGCACCTGGCGAGGGCGGGGAGCAGGGGGAGAGGGGGGGCAGGGGGAGAGGGGGGGCATGGAGAGAAGGAGCACGAGGTGCGGGCGTGGGGGGAGATGCAATTTGCTCGCCATGTCCGCTTTGATCCCCCAACCGATCCGCCGAGAGCAGACCGCCAGCACCGCTCACCGTGCAGGCCACACCGCCCACTTCCGCCGGTCACGCTCCGAGCCGCCGGTCTCCGTGGATCGAACCTCAAATCCTCCCCCCCTCTCCCCCCCCCCGCCCCTAAACCTCCTCGCCCTCTCCCTCCGCGCCTCACCTCCGGCCGTACGGGGTCCTCGATGCCGACGACGGCGATGCAGGTGAGGTCAGCGACGATGGCGCCCTCGTCCTCCCAGTTGGGGTCGGCGCCGCCGCCGCCGCCCGAGGGCAGGTCGCGGAACGCCAGGCAGATGGTGCGCAGGCCCTCGCTCGCCATGGGCTCCACCACGGAGCGCACGAGCGCGTCGCGCTCGCGGGCTCGCAGCGGCGCCGCCTCCCCCGCCGCGTTCAGGACCCACGAGCACCTGGGAGGCGCGTGGAGGGGCGGTGGAGCCAGCGATCGTGTCCGCCGAGCGGGACTCCGGCTCCGAGCGCTTGCGCCTGGGTTTGGTTTTAACCGGGCGAGGCCTTCGCTAGGGCTAGCTGGCAATGGGAGTGACCTGGCGCGTTGCTTTGCTGCTGCCTTGTGGTCTAGCCTAGGGGCACCCCCATTGTCAGCTAAGCATCCCACCACATCACCCCGCAGCACACCACACACCGCACACCACACACATCACACCACAACCACCACACCAAACACCGCACATCACACCACACACAGCACACCACACATCACACACCACACAGCACACCACACACATCACACCACATACCGCACATCACACCACACACAGCACACCACACACCACACACCACACAGCACACCACACACATCACACCACACACAGCACACCACACACAGCACACCACACACAGCACACACCACACACACCACACACCACACACACCACACCACACACACCACACTTCACACCGCACATCACATCACACAGCACACCACACACCACACACCGCACATCACACACCACGCAGCACACCACACACCGCACATCACACTACACACCACACACCGCACATCACACAGCAGACCAGCACACCACACACCGCACATCACACCGCGCAGATCACAGCACACCGCACGCATCGCACCACACACAGCAAAGCCACGCGCTGCACAACCGCGCCATCACAACGCCTGCAGCATCGCGCCACACCGCGTCGTCACACACCGGCCGCCCCTCACTTTCGCAGGACGATCTCGGAGGCGCCCTTGGTGAAGACGCGGAAGCCCGAGATCGGCGGCGCCGCGGCACCGACGCCGCCCCCCACGAGTCCGGCGGCGGCGGCGGCGGCGGGGGCGGCGGCGGCCACGTGCTCGGCACGCAGCACGGTGCTCATGGACTTGCGGCTCGAGTTGAAGGTGAACACCTTGAAGAGCGACTCCTCCGGCACGATCCGCCGCACCGCCTGCGCGTCTCGCCCCAGCGCCAGCGCCAGCCCCAGCAGCGAGCACTCCGTCTTGTTGCCCACGTGCCGCGGCAGCCCGCCGGGCTTCTCCGGGGCCTGGCGGCCACGAGGAGGAGCGGTGGGGTGGGGGGGGAGGAGCGGAAGATGGGGCAGGAGGGAGGAGAGGGGGAGACGGAGAGAGCGGGCGGTGGTGAGGAGGTGAGAGGGCAGGCATGCGGGCAGCTCCAAGTGTCTAGATGTTGCTCACCAGGATGTTGGTGGTGAGTGCTCACCAGGATGTTGGTAGTGAATGTCCGACAGGATGTTGGTGTCTACACTATGGGGACCTCATTTGCCAGTAAAAATATGATAATTGGTTCTTTACCCTTCTATCTGGCAACAAAACTGACACCTTTTTGCAAGGAGTCATGTTTGCATAGACCGCAATACCTGCAGTCATAAATACAAACAAAAGACATAACTCTGATAATGTGCACTGTCCTTGAAGTTGATTGGTCCACACCCGAGACAGCTTTCCTTCGAGCCTTTTGGCGTCATCTGGTCCAACCCATATGAGACTAGGCTCGAAGGAAAGCTGTCTCGGGTGTGGACCAATCAACTTCAAGGACAGTGCACATTATCAGAGTTATGTCTTTTGTTTGTATTTATGACTGCAGGTATTGCGGTCTATGCAAACATGACTCCTTGCAAAAAGGTGTCAGTTTTGTTGCCAGATAGAAGGGTAAAGAACCAATTATCAGGATGTTGGTGGTGAGTGCTCACCAGGATCTCGGTGGTGAGTGTCCACCAGGATCTCGGTGGTGAGTGTCCGACAGGATCTTGGTGTTGAGTGCTCACCAGGATCTCGGTGGTGAGTGTCCACCAGGATCTCGGTGGTGAGTGTCCGACAGGATGTTGGTGGTGAGTGCTCACCAGGATCTCGGTGGTGAGTGTCCGACAGGGTGTTGGTGTGAGTGCTCACCAGGATCTCGGTGTTGAGTGCTCACCAGGATGTTGGTGTTGAGTGCTCACCAGGATCTTGGTGGTGTAAGCGCAGTTGACGGCGATGCCGGTGGTGAGTGCTCACCAGGATCTTGGTGGTGAGTGCTCACCAGGATCTTGGTGGTGTAAGCGCAGTTGACGGCGATGCCGGTGTTGAGTGCTCACCAGGATCTTGGTGGTGTAAGCGCAGTTGACGGCGATGCCGGTGGTGAGCGCGTCCAGCGTGGCCGGCGCCAGGGCCTCCACGCCCGGCACCGAGCGGTGCAGAACCCCGCCCACAAACGCCTGCACCGCACCGCCAGCACCACGCACCGCCAACGCCAGCGGTTATCGCTCGGTGGTTGTGGTTGCTGGTGATTGGTCGGTAGTTGTGGTTGGTGGTAATTGGACGGCGGTGATTGGTCGGTGGTTGTTGTGGTTGTCGTTTATTGGCTGATTGCTGTGGTTGGTGGGGATTGGTCGGTGGTTGTGGTTGGTGTTTATTGGCTGATTGCTGTGGTTGGTGGTGATTGGTCGGTGGTTGTGGTTGGCGTTTATTGGCTGACTGTTGTGGTTGGTGGGGATTGGTCGGTGGTTGTGGTTGGTGTTTATTGGCTGACTGCTGTGGTTGGTGGTCATTGGTCGGTGGTTGGTGTTTATTAGCTGATTGCTGTGGTTGGTGGGGATTGGTCGATGGTTGTGGTTGGTGTTTATTGGCTGACTGCTGTGGTTGGTGGCGATTGGTCGGTGGTTGTGGTTGGTGTTTATTGGCTGACTGCTGTGGTTGGTGGGGATTGGTCGGTGGTTGTGGTTGGTGTTTATTGGCTGACTGCTGTGGTTGGTGGCGATTGGTCGGTGGTTGTGGTTGGTGTTTATTGGCTGACTGCTGTGGTTGGTGGGGATTGGTCGGTGGTTGTGGTTGTCGTTTATTGGCTAACTGCTGTGGTTGGTGGCGATTGGTCAGTGGTTGTGGTTGGTGTTTATTGGCTGACTGCTGTGGTTGGTGGTGATTGGTCGGTGGTTGGTGGTGAGCGAGCTTCACCTGCACCACCGTCATGCGGTTGGTGGTGAGCGTGCCCGTCTTGTCGGAGCAGATGGCCGTGGCGTTGCCCATCGTCTCGCACGCGTCCAGGTGCCGCACCAGATTGTTGTCCTTCATCATTTTCTGCGCCACGGAGTGGACGTGATGAGGTCACGATGGCGTCATCATCGAACGGGTACAACTCTCGCCGGCACGCGCGTTGGCGAAGAGCATCGTGGCCATGAAAGCTCTGCCGGACCCTCGCCACAAATATTACGTCATCAGCGTCATCGTCGTCATCAGCCATGATCTATCCACCGCTGGGTGAAACCTCTCCCCTTTGCCGTCGCCACCTCTCGCTACCTGTATGTACGGATCTCTGTACGTTTCCCACAATGCACCTTGATGGACCATGCAAAGGGAGATGGTGACAGCGAGTGAGGGGCAGCCCCTTCGCTGCCACCTCTCCCACAATGCACCTCTGTCACAACTGCCTCCCCACCTCTCCGCCTCCCACAATGCACCTCACCGCGAGTGCCGCCCCCCTTTAATGCGCGTCCCACAATGCACCTTGACGGAGTAGGCGAGGGCGATGGTGACGGCGAGGGGCAGCCCCTCGGGCACGGCCACGACGAGCACGGTGACGCCGATGATGAAGAACTTGACGAAGTACTGCACGTAGACCGGCGTGCACTCGGCCAGCCAGGGCCGGCCCTGCACCCAGAACGTGTCGATCACGAAGTAGAGCACCAGGATCACCACCGTCACCGACGACATCGCCAGACCTGCCGGGGAGGTGGGGGTAGCGGGGGTTCGGGGTGGGAGGTGGATCAGAGATACTCCGATTAGCACGGTTCGGTGCGAAAGATGTTCAACATACGCACAAACGTGCACAAACGTAGGAACACTACAAAAGACACTTGAGACTGAGTCTATCTTGGGGAAGGCCCAGGAGGGTTCAGGTTGCAATCGCCACTGATGTTGCCCGTAGCCGGGTTCGTAGCGCATCGCCCATGCCGCATCGCACCGCACGGCGCACGATGGCGATTCCGGGCGACGCGCCCGGGTGACCCCGGCGGAGCGTTCCGCCGCGCCGCTCACCGGCCTTGCCGATCTGCACGGCGAGCTTGGTGAGCTTCCCCTGCAGCACCGACTTCTCCTTCTTGGGCGGCGCCGCCGGCCTCCGCTCCCGGGCGTCGTCCGCGTCGCCCCCCTCGCCCCCCTCGCCCCCCTCGCCCGCGTCGCCCACCTCGCCCCCGTCCCCCACTCGCAGCGGCTGCATCTCCACCGACGCCACCCCATCCTGCGCCTTGGCTGTGCAGACCAACGCAGATCTCCGTCAACGTCATCCCCGTCCACATCATCATCAAAATCAACCTCGTCAACATCAACCTCGTAAACATCAACCTCGTCTACATCAACCTCGTCTACATCATCAACATCATCCTCGTCAACATCATCCTCATCCACGTTATCCCCGTCAACGTCATCATCATCATCAGCATCCTCGTCAACATCATCATCAAAATCAACCTCGTCAACATCAACCTCGTCATCATCAACCTCGTCAACATCATCCTCGTCAACATCATCCTCGTCCACGTCATCCTCATCATTCTCGTCAACATCAACCTCGTCAACATCATCATCAAAAACATCATCCTCGTCAATGTCATCCTCGTCAACATCATCATCAAAATCAACTTCGTCCATGTCATCCTTGTCCACGTCATCCTCGTCACATCATCCTCGTCCACGTCATCCTCGTCAACATCATCATCGTCAACGTGATCATCAAAATCAACTTCGTCAACATCATCCTCGTCACGTCATCCTCATCAACATCAACCTCGTCAACATCATCATCAAAATCAACTTTGTCAACATCATCCTCGTCAACATCATCATCAAAATCAACTTCATCCACGTCATCCTCGTCACGTCATCCTCGTCAACGTCATCCTCGTGACGTCATCCTCGTCAACATCATCCTCGTCACGTCATCCTCGTCAATATGGGCGGTGGTGGCGTCGTAGGCGTCAGAACTGCCGTGGCCGCCATTGTCACCGCGCTGTCGTCATGGCCGCCACTTGCCACAGACGCCCGCGGTTCGGGCCTTTTACCACCCCCCCTCCCCTTCCGAGTGGCCTTGCCATGATAGCATCTTGCTGGGATCCATGTGCTGTTGCTAGGGAACCGCTACTGTTGCTAAGGTCCAGCTGCTCTTGCTAGGGTCCAGCTCCTGTTGCTAGGGTCCAGCTGCTGTTGCTAGGGTCAAGATGCTGTTGCTAGGGTCCAGCTGCTGTTGATAGCGTCCAGCTCCTGTTGCTATGGTCAAGGTGTTGTTGCTATAGGTCCATGTGCTGTTGCTCGGGTACAGGTGCTGTTGCTAGGGTCAAGTGCTTTTGCTAGGATCCATGTGCTGCTGCTTGGGTCCACGTGCCATTTCTAGGGGCTGGATGCTGTTGCTAGGGACCAAGTGGTGTTGCTAGGGACCACATGCTATTCCTAGGAAACGGATGCTGTTGCTAGGTTACGCGAGGGACGGCGGTTGCTACCTTTGCTCTGGTGGTTCTCAGTGACCTCCTCGTCTTTGTGTGTCGCACGGAGGCACAGACGGAGGAGGTGGAGGGACGAGGACGATGACGCGGAGGCGGCATGGACACGTCAGCGAGGTGGGAGGAGAAGCACACGCGCACAGAGACACAAAGACAAAGATCCCCCGTATATCCTTAACAGACTTTAGGGGCAAGTGCTGTTAGCGAGCACCTATGAAGGCCGGAACGGCACAGGAGGGGGTGGGTGGCCAGCATCACATCCGACCGCCTTTGTCTTCCCATTGGCGATGTTTACACACCGCACCAGGTACTCATTTGAGGCAAAGTCGACCTCGGGAAGGCCCAGGACCGGTTCAGATAATCGCCACCGGTGTTGGCCGTGAGCGGGAATCGAACTCGGCTCGCCGGGTTCGTAGCGCAGCACAGCGCTAACCGCTACACCACCGCTCCACGCACGCACACATAAGGGCACACGGACACGCATGCACACAGGCAATGAGACGCATAAGCCGAACAGACACGCGCATGGTGAGCAAGCGAGGGACACACAAAGGCGACGGATCGCATTGCGTCTGCTGAGCCGCAGGCGAACGATCGTCACCATGCCGCTCCTTTACCCCGGAACAGCCTCCCGGAGTCTCAACAACTCCATCGCGCTGCCGTCGTGCCCAAGGCGCCGCGAATACGAGCGTGAGAGAGGCGTTCGTGCGTGCGGGAGGGGAGGGGGGGTCTCGGGAACCCGGAGGAAGCCCTCCGGGTACACGGGGCAGAGACCGCCCAACGGATGGATTTCGATCTACTTGCTGTACTGCCATCTCCGCGGGCGCGGTGCCTCGCTCAATTGCTCCGCTAGAAAAACCTGGAGGTGGCTGTCCTGAGAGATCGGGGGCGCTGAGATCCCGGGGTTGAGAGAGAGACCCACAGACTCACAAAGAGACACGCAGACTGGAACCCAGGGTCTCGACGTCTCTCATCTCGCAGACACCAACCAGGCCACCTCCAGGATGTGTAGCTAAGCAAATGAGCCAGACACGGATATGCCAGCGCAGCGAGTAGATTGGCTCTATGTGTACGGAGCTTTGGGTGTTTTGGAGACGAGGGTTGGTGGATCACGCAGAGATTTGTGAGAGTCCCAAACCTCCTCGTAGAACTGCTGTGAAGTGGCCAGGGCATGGCGGTACAGCAAGCGAGTTCCATGTGCAGCTTTGAGTTTCTCCCCCTTGCCCGCACGCACCACGTGCGTGTGCACGTACGAAGCCCAACGCCCGTGAACTCCGATGGGATTCGTCGGCAACAAAAAAACCACATTGACGAGTGCATAGCAGCACCCTCGGGGGCGAATCGAGTGACGGACGCAGCGGCTTGTGCGGGTTGATCCACCCGCTCGAATCCATCTCCCGGCACAGCAGTTGAAGCAATAAAGGGCGAGTTTCCTAACCCCCCCAATCCCCCCCCCCACCCTCCCCGCCACGCCGCCCCCTCCGCTGCCTCTGTCCAATGTCCAACCCCGCAGCGGCAGCGAACGACTTCCACCACAGTCAGGCAATGGGCACGTCGCGTGTGTGTGTGGGGGGGGGGGGGGTGGTGGGGTTGGGGTAAAGCGTGGGTAAAGCGTGGGTAATGCCCACCTCTTCCCATACGTGGACGAGTGGAGTGAACATACGCTTCCGTCTAGCGAAGCCCCAACCCCCACTCCCCACCCCTACCGCCCTTCCGCCAACAGTGGAGCCGACGAGCAATTGTAGGGCTGCACCTGTACCTTCGTTTTGAGACGCTAGGTACGGAATGATGTGCGGCGTGCGGTGACTTGGGCCTGCCGCCGTGCGGTGCCCTCGCTCCTCGCGTGCCACTGGAATCGATCGCCGGTTCACGACTGCCGGCACCGCGAACCGATTCTCAAAACGGATTCCGGTCAACAACGCCCATTGGAAGTTTGAGGTTGGTTGTTGCTAGTTAGTGGTTGTGGTCGGTAGTTAATGGTTGCGGCTGGTGCTTAATGGTTACGGTTGGTAGTTAGTGATTGTGGTTAGTAGTTAGTGGTTGTGATTGGTAGTTGTGGGACTGCTACCAGAGACTGAGTGAGGCTCTCCTGGGAGCACAGAGGGTCGTCCTGACGATGATGGTGACGAGGACGGAGACGACGACGGTGACGATGATGATGACATAGACGATGATGACAGTGATGGTGACGACGACGGAGACAATGACGGTGACGATGATGACAGTGACGGTGACGATGAAGGTAGTGACGGTGACGATGAAGGTGACGACGGTGACGGTGACGACGGTTACCGCCACCATCACAGTGCCACCCACCTTTCTTGTCGCGCCGCTCCTCCTCCTCCACGTCGCCCGCCCCGAGCAGCGTGAAGATGATGCCCGTCTGGGAGTTGACGCCCACGGCCGTCACCACCATCTTCCCCGAGCCCTCCATCACGTGCGTGCCTGCAGACGCAGCGCCGCACAGGGGGAGGAGGGGAGCGACGAGGATGAGGAGGATGAAGAGGAGGAGGAGGATGAGGAGGAGTATGAGCAGGCGGGTGGGTGTTGGTGGTGCCGATGCTGTGGGTAGCGGTAGCACAGTGGTTTGCACGCAGTGCTACGAAACCGGTAACCGGGTTCGATTCCCGCTCACGGTCAACAACAGTGACGATTATCTGAACGGGTACTAGGTAAACCCAGCCTCAAATGATTACCTCGTTCAGTGTATACATACAGAATATATAATCACTGGGGAGACAAAGGCGGACCTGGCGGTATTAGCCACCCATCCCCTCGGCTTTTATAGGTGCTCGCAGATAGCACTTGTCCCAACAGTCTGTTAAAGGCTATATGGGGGATCTTTATAATAATAATAGTACAATTTGTAACGCGCGCAAATTTGCAGACGTAGTGGCCGCAACTCAGAGGCGCGGAGCCAAGCTCAGAGTCGCTCAAAAGCATGATTGTAGAGGTGAGTTTTTAAGTGTCTCTTGAAGGAGGCGATTGAGGTGATGCTGCGAATGTGCAGAGGGATATCGTTCCAGACTGTTGGGGCTGCCACCGAGAAGCGGCGCGTAGACACGGTGACCATCCTGGATCTTGGTATTGAGAGGAGGTCGTGAGTCGCGCTGCGCAGGCATCTGCCGTGTGCTGAGCTGCAAGTTGTCAATAATGAAGAAAGGTACGGCGGGCAGGCGGATATGAAGGCATTGTGGCAGAGGCAGGCGGTCTTGTATGTGACCCTACTGGCGATGGGGAGCCAGTTGAGAGCACGGAGACAAGCTAGTGAGTCCAGACGGGGATGAGTGTGGGCAATGACGACGCGTGCTAGGTTATTTTGTAGTCTTTGAAGCTTCCTTAGGTTGCCAGCGGAGGTCCGGACAAGGACGGAGTTACAATAGTCAAGGCGAGACCCAACTATGCAACATGCCAAAGTGTTGGCAATTTCAGTAGAGATGAGAGGACGTATGTGTCTAAGAGCCTTCAGGTGAAAGTTACATGAGCTGATGATATGGTTGGTTTGACGGTCGAAGAATAAAATTGAATCTAGGATGACACCGAGGTAGCTGAAGTGGTTGGTGAACTTGATGCTATGACCGAAGATGTGTATGTGTGTGGGGAGTGCTGCTGAATTGAGACGTTGCTTGGTACCTAACATGATGGCCACTGACTTTTTCGGATTAAGGGCTAGGTTGTGTGCAGTGAACCATTGTTGCACGGCGGTGGTACATTCCGAGAGCCTCTCGAATCCAGATGCATTGCTAGAATCGATGGCGGTGAATAGAATCGTGTCATCCGCGTATGAGTGATGCTTAACACCGAAGCTTGCAATGAGTCGGCCGATCGGGGAAGTGTAGGCTGTGAAGAGCAGGGGACCTAGAACAGAGCCCTGGGGAACCCCGCATAATGCTCTTGTTTCAGGCGATGTGGACATGCCCACCCTGACTGAGGATTGCCGGTCAGAAAGGTACGAAGCTATCCACTTGAGTGCTGAGCCGCATATACCGAAGTCGGATTTCAGGAGGGAAGTAAGGAGCGAATGGTTGATGGTGTCGAAGGCTGACGAAATGTCCAGACTTACAAGTGCAACAGTTGAGCCGGAATCAACGATCGTTAAAATGTCATCGAGCACCCTAGTATCAATGTGTCTACGCGTACTGTGTGTGTATGGACACACGTTCATGTGTGTGCTCTTGCGTGTGGGCGTGTATTTTGGCACGTCTATGCATTTGTAATGTGTGCGTGTGTCTATGAATGCGTGTGTGTGTCCGTGTGTCTTTGTGTAATGACAATAGAACCTGCATACGGTGTGAGGTCACTAGTGGCCACGGGAGGTAATGACAGGGGAGTCAGCCTGCAGTGCGAATGGACTAGTGGCCACGGGAGGTAATGACAGGGGAGTCAGCCTGCAGTGCGAATGGACTAGTGGCCACGGAAGGTAATGGCAGGGGAGTCAGCCTGCAGTGTGAAGGGACTAGTGACTACGGGAGGTAATGACAGGGGAGTCAGCCTGCAGTGCGAATGGACTAGTGGCCACGGGAGGTAATGACAGAGGAGTCATCTGTGAGTGCGAAGGGACTGGTGGCTACGGGAATGTTCGAGAAGGGAGCCTGGTCACGTGACGGTGGAGTCTGCCGGTGGAGCGAGCGTCTAGAGTCAGCGAGAAGGTTCGGGAAGGGGGGCGTGTCGGTATAAAAGGGGGAGATGCGCAGGAGGCTCGGGGCTGTTGCAGCGGGGGTCTCCGCCTGATGTCAAGTGAACGCGTCTTCAATAAAGTGCCATCTCAAGAGAAGTGTGGTAAGTCGTCATTATATTTGTGTCAGTGTGTGTGTGTGTCCGTGGGTAGCGGTAGTGTAGCGGTTAGCGCGCTGCGCTACGAACCAGGCGGCCCAAGTTCAATTCCCGCTCACGGCCAACACCAGTGACGATTATCTGAACCGGTTCTGGGCCTCCCCTAGGTCGACTCAGCTTCAAAAGAGTACCCGGTGCGATGCGTAAACATCGCCACTGGGGAGACAAAGGCGCGTGGTGTTGGCCACTCACGCCCTCGTATGCCGTGCCGGCCTGCATAGATATCTCGCTAACAGCACTTGCCCCAACAGTCTCTTAAGTCTATACGGGGGATCTTTGTCTTTGTTTTTTGTCCGTGTCCGTGTGTGTGTTTCCGTGTGTGTGTGCGCCCGTGTGTGTGTGTGTGTCCGTGCGTGTGTGTGTCCGTGTGTGTGTGTGACCCCTGACCTGAGAGAAGGTTGGGGTCCCTGTCGATGGCTTTGCGCACCTGGTCGGACTCCCCGGTTAGGGAGCTCTCGTCCACCTTGAGATCGTTGCTCTGGATGAGCACCCCGTCCGCGGGCAGCAGGTCACCTGCACGGTCAGCAGCGCTGCCATCATCATCGTCGTCGTCGCCGTGGCCCTTGTCATCATTATCACCGAATTAATCACGATCATTGTCATAATCTGTGCCTTACTTTAGCATCTCAGCGGAGCCACGAATGTCGCCTCCAATTCCACATTCAACCCCCGTACCGTGTTCGAGCCCCTTTACTGCATCTGACCCTCGTACCGTATTTGACCTGGGCGATGTCGCCCACCACGATGGCCGCCACGGGGAGCTGGAGCAGCTGCCCGCCGCGGATGACCGAGAACTTCTGCTCCTGCTCGATGCGATTCTGGAGTCCGCGGAACTGTCGCTCCTTGCTCCAGTCGTTGAACGCCGTGACGAGCACCACGCACGCCACCGACAGGAGGATGGCCGCTCCCTCGATCCAGCCGGCCGTCGCCTCCCCCTCGTCCTCCGCGCCGCCCCCGGCGAGCCCGCACGCTGCACGGTGTGGGGGTGGGGGGTCAACGGAGGAGGGGGTAGGGGGTCAAGGGGTCAAGAGGTGAAGGGGCGCGAGGTTGGCCGAGAGGACACGGTCACTTTCGAGTTGTTTTTTACGTTGGTCAATAATGGGACAACCCCATCCCGGACTCCGACACATCAATCCACCACTCCCATCACTACACGCAACACTCCCTCCATTCATCCATCACTCTATCCGTCACTCCAAACATCACTCCTTCAATCACTCCATCCATCCCTAAACCAATTCCACCAATCACTCCATTATCCCATCGCTTGATCCCTGTCAACATCACTCCATCAGCCCATCCACCGTTTTATCTTTTATCCATCCATCCAACTACCAATTAATTATTCAATCCCTCAGCGCCCTCCCTGCATCCCCCCCCCCCCATTCTGATCCTCCACACTCCCCCCTCTAGCAGTGTCTGCTGCTGCTACTGCTGCTGCCGCTCGTGGCTATGGGGATCGTTAAATTTTTTATTTCCCGACTTCATCTAGGACACGGAGCGCCTTAACATGCACGGCGCGCAGCTGCCCACGCATACACACAGACACACACACACGCATACACAGACACACACGTATACAATCACGCATACACACAGACACACACACACACATATACACACAGACACACACACACTCACGCATACACACACAGACACACGCGCATACACACACAGACACACACACACGTATACAATCACGTATACACACACAGAGACACACACACACTCACGCATACACACACACACGTATACACTCACGCATACACAAAGAACCCCCGTATAGCCTTTACAGACTGTAGGGGCAAGTGCTGTTAGCGAGCACCTATGAAGGCCGGCACGGCACACGAGGGGGTGGGTGGCCAACACCACGCCTGGCCACCTTTGTCTCCCCCAGTGGCGATGTTTACACACCGCACCAGGTACTCATTGGAGGCCGAGTCGACCTAGGGGAGGCCCAGGACCGGTTCAGATGCTCCCTAACAGCACTTGCCCCAGCACTCTGTGAAGGCTACGCGGGGGATCTTTGTCTTTGCGTCACCACTGTGTCTGCTCACCGCGCTGCGTCACGAACCCGGCGAAATTCCGGGTTGGATTCCCGCTCACGAATGATCTGAACCGGATCCTGGGCCTCCCCTAGGTCGACTCGGCCTCAAATGAGTACCTGGTGCGGTGAGTAAACATAGCCACTGGGGGAGACAAAGGCGGCCGGGCGTGGTGCTGGCCACCCACCCCCTCGTTCGCCGTGCCGGTCTTCATAGGCGCTCGCTAGCAGCACTTGCCCCTACAGTCTGTTAAGGCTACACGGGGGGGGGGGGGGGAATCTTTGTCTTTGTTTTGCCCGTGTGTGTGTCCGTGTGTGGGTGTCCTGTACGCTCGCATGTGTGTGTGTCGTGTTCCGCCTGCTGCTGTTTCAGAAGACACCGTGTTCCTGGAGCAGAGATTTCCTTTCATCTAAGAATATCTCCCCGCGTGGAGACTCCTGCACAGTCCCCGCGAGCGCGCGCACGCAACGCACGACCACCCCGGACCCGGCAATCCCTGGGTCTCATTCCAGCTCCAGCTCCCCTGCTTGAGAGTGCCACAAAATTTCGGTTCGTTCCTGCCCCAGTGCCGGATGATCCGCGTAGCAAAAGCAGCTGCATAATGCTACGGGCCCCGCACTTTCAAGGGCCCCCGCGCTGAATGCTTTCAAGCCATCAATTCTGGTTCAGTGATTCTGCACTTGCTCTATTACTATAGTACTATACCGCCTTCAACTTTTATGAACGATTGGGTGTTTAAGGTTAGCGATTTGTCGTATTATCTGGCTGTATAGCAAATGAAAGTTAAATATGTGTGTTTTAATATTGAAGTATTTATTTATTTAGGGCCCCTTTATAACATATGCTACAGACCCTGCACGAGCTTCATCCGGCACTGCCCTGCCCTGGCTTTCCTGGGAGCGGTGATCACGGCGGACGCCGAAGACGCCCGTGACGCCGCCACGCGCCGGCGTCACGGGCCAGACTTTGGCAAAATGTGCAAGAGTTACACCGCAAGTCACCTTCCGTGGGATTCCGTGGGATTGTGTGGGATTCCGTGGGATTCCGTGGGATTGTGTGGGATTTCTTGGGGCTACACCGCACAGCAGTAGCAACATGAAAGGCAATCATCGCCCCCTCCCCCCCCCGCTGCTAAAACGCGGAAGGACCCTCCGGCGAGGGCCTTAATAGGTGCTCGCTAACGGCACGTTCCCCAACAGCCGGTGACAGGCGACAACCACGGGGGAGGAGCCCGTGTCTGTGCCACTGCGTCTGTGGGGGGGCGCGGTGGTGTAGCGGTTAGCGCTACGCTGCACTACGAACCCGGCGACACGGGTTCGATTCGCGCTCACGGCCAACACAGGTGACGATTACCTGAGCCGGTGCTGCGCCTCCCCTAGATCGACTCGGCCTCAAACGAGTACCCGGGTGCGGTGTGTAAACATCGCCACTGGGGAGACAAAGGCGGCCGGGCGCGGGGCTGGCCACCCACCCTCTCGTGCGCCGTGCCGGCCTTCGTGGGTGCTCGCTAACAGCACTTGCCCCGACAGCCTGTTACAGGCTACGAGGGGGGAATCTTCTTGGCCTTTGTCTTGTGCGCGCGTCGCCGCTGTTTATTCTACAGCAGTGGCAACAGCCGTCTGCCAGCGCCGCTAAGAATAGCGCCGCATGGCGCTGCAACAGTCGCGGCGCTGGTCGGCCCCAGACACACCACACACCACACAACAACAAAAACCCGTGCGCGTGTTAGGGGGGGGAGCGGTGGCGCAGTGGTTTGCGCCGCGCGACGAAATGCGACGAACACTTCCCCCCCACCCCGAGTTGCGACGGCTCGCTCAGAGTCGACGACGGTCACGGCGAAGTGTTTCGACTGCTCAGGGACCTTCCCCAAAGGTCTGCTCGGCCCCCGTCAAAAAAAATGCGCACTCGTCAGCACCGGTGAGACAAAGGCGGCCCGGCAGTGGTTGGTGTTGGCCGCCCGCCCGCCGGCCACGTGTTTCCACAGACGTCGTTGGTGCTCGCGAACAGCACTTGCCCCAACGGTCTGTGAAAAGGCTATACGGGGGATCTTTGTCTTTGTGAGCCACGCAGAGATGGTGGGGGGTGTGGGTGGTGGGGGCTTGGCACCAGCCCCACCAACCCCCCCCACCCCCCACCGACCGCCACACTCTCCCCACGAGCCACTGGGCACGCGCGGAGAGAGTGGAGGAGTTCCCCTGCCCGGGCAGTGAACTGTGCCTCCCTTAGATAGACTCGGCCTTAAATGAGTCATTGGTGCAGTGTCTGTGAACGTCAGGAGGTCGGGTGCGGTGCATCGGCCACCCCCCCATCTCCCCGCGTGTGCTGGCCTTCATAGGCGCTCGCTAACGACACTTGGCCCAACAGTCCGTTGAGGCCATGCGGGGGACCTTTGTCTTCGTACACGCCGTGTTTTCTTGTCTCGTGCCGTTGCCGACTCCGCTGTGAGCGCCGCAAATAGATCGATCACTCAATGGGGCAGGGCCACGTGACGCGTCTGACGCCACGTGTCCGTTTTAATTGGTCAGCCTTGCTGCTGCCACTGACCCTGACACTATAGCCGTGTCACTAACCCCGACACCATAGCCCTGTTAATAACCCTGATACTAATAATAGGGGTTTTCCCCCTTTTTTCTGGCAACAAAACTGAAACCTTTTTAGGAGGATTCATGTCTGTGTAGTGGTGGTATTGACGTGCGCCGACAGTGATGGATCACGGGGCGCGGGGTTGGGCACGCGATGTGGGCGGGGCATGGACGCGCGCGCCGGTGGTAAGGCGCGCTCACACAAGCTGGGAAAAGAGGATCGTAGCGAGTGCGCAGTGATTGGTCAGATAAGTGGGTGCTCTCAGCGACGTCCGCAGGAGGGGTATAAAGGGAGACGCGCGAGAGCACTCGTGGAGTGTTAACCAGTTGAAGACCGAAGACGGGGTGGAGGAGGTAGTGGCCCGAGACCCCTAGTCCCGCCGTCCTTGTGAGGACCGGGGCCCTGTGTGGCTTGGAGCCGAGACTGGGGGACCCGTAGTCCGACGCCCGTGTGGGTCGGGACGGTGGTACCCAGAGCCGAGACGGGCACCCCCGGCTGGGTGTGTCCCGGAAGGCTACGGGGCGTAAGAGCCCGTGTCAGTATAGCTGAGTGGGTGTTTGTCACCCGTGTAGCTGAGTGGGTGTGAGTCACCCGAGTAGCTAAGTGGGTGTCAGTCACCCGTGCGACGAAGTGGGTGTTAGTCACCCGTGTAGCTGAGTGGGTGTGAGTCACCCGAGTAGCTAAGTGGGTGTCAGTCACCCGTGCAACGAAGTGGGTGTTAGTCATCCGTGTAACTACAAGTTGGTGAAAATAAAGAGTGTGCTACCCGTGAAGACGTCTCCCGCCGAGTTACTACTTTACATCTGCATTAACCACAATACTTGCAGTCAAAATGCCAACAATATATATGCATTGTTCTTGAAACTGATTGGTTCACACCAGAGACAGCTTTCTTTAGAGCCTAGTCTCAATTGGTGCTAGTTTTGTTGCGAGAAAAAAGGGGAAAACCCCTATTATTATATTTTGATTCTGGCAAAGGAGGTCCAATGACGTAAACCCGGACACTACAGCCCTGTCACTCACCTTGACACTCACCCTGTCACTCACCTTGTCACTCACCCTGTCACTCACCCTGTCACTCACCCTGACACTCACCCTGTCACTCACCCTGTCACTCACCCTGACACCACAGCCCTGTCACTCACCCTGACACCACAGCCCTGTCACTCACCCTGTCACTCACCCTGACACTCACCCTGTCACTCACCCTGTCACTCACCCTGTCACTCACCCTGACACTCACCCTGTCACTCACCCTGTCACTCACCCTGACACCACAGCCCTGTCACTCACCCTCACACCACAGCCCTGTCACTCACCCTGTCACTCACCCTGACACTCACCCTGTCACTCACCCTGTCACTCACCTTGTCACTCACCCTGTCACTCACCCTGTCACTCACCCTGACACCACAGCACTGTCACTCAGCCTGTCACTCATCCTGTCACTCACCCTGACACCACAGCCCTGTCACTCACCCTGTCACTCACCCTGACACTCACCCTGTCACTCACCCTGTCACTCACCCTGTCACTAACCCTGACACTATAACCCAGCCGCAATGGCTCAGCCTTATCCACACCACCAGCTCAATGGGGCTCGTTGCGACGACTGTGGCCGGGCGCGAGGAGCGTGCCCACCGTCGCTGTCGGAGCCGGGCGGCTGGTAGAAGGAAAGTCCCAGCGAGACGAGGGCCGCCACCTCCAGGATGATGAGCGTCACGTCCTGCAGCGCCTCCCACACGAGCGCCAGGAACGACTTGGGCTTCTTGGGCGGGATGAGGTTCTCCCCGAAGACGGCACGCCTCCGCGCCAGGTCCTCCTCGTCACCCGACACGCCTGGGGGGAGGGGGGGGGGGCAAAGAGGGGGGGGGGGGGTGAAGGGGGGAGTTGGGGGGGGGGCGAAGGGGGGGGTCGGTGACGCTTCGTCGGCCGATGGAGCGACCGTGTTGCGGTTTCTCACAACAATTGAAGGCGCGAGCCACGGTGGTGCGATTGTGTAGCCGTGCACCCTCAGCCACCCGACCACCCCACCCCCCGTCTAACTATGGGCCTCACAGTAAACCCATAGAGATGCACACAGAGACACGTAGAAAGACATTGACATGCATATAAGACCCCCCCCCCCCCGTGTAGCCTTTACAGACTGTTGGGGAAAATGCCGTGAGCGAGTAGCCACCTATGAAAGCCGTCACGGCACACAAGAGGGGTGGGTGGCCAACACCACGCCGGGCCGCCTTTGTCTCCCCACTGGCGGTGTTTACACACCGCACCAGGTACTCATCTGAGGCTGAGTCGACCTAGGGGAGGCCCAGGACGAGTTCAGATAATCGTCACTGGTTGTTGGCCGTAATCGGGAATCGAACTCGAGTGGCCGGGTTCGCAGCGCAGTGCGCGAACTGTCGCGCTACCACTCACCATCAACACCACCGCCGCTGTCAGCCCCGTCACCATCAGCAGCACCACATCCAATACCAATACACGCCATTCGCTACTAAGGGACGATGACGTCAACATGGCACCTGTGCCAGGCCAGGTGCACTTTGCGGCCACGTGAAGTGTCGAAGGCTCGCTGGTGACAGACCTGGCAGGTGCCATGGGTTGACTGACTGATGACTAGGAGATGCACCACCCGTGCCCTTACTGTGCCAAACATGCCAATTTGCTGTGTTTTAGTCGCCCGGCGCTCCACTCGTTGTTGTGAGCGTTGTCATCACCACCATCACCACCACCATCACCAAAAACCACCATCACCACCACCATCACCACCATCACCACCATCACCACCATTACCATCATCACCTTCAGCACTAACCACTATCATCATCACCATGACCACCACCATCACCATCCTCACCGTCCACGGGCGAGGTCCGGAGCCGGCGACACATCCCCGCGACCGCGTCCCCCGCTCCACCCCCGGCTCCGCTGCCCCCGTATCTCTCGGCCATGTGGGCCATCGCCTCGGCCCCCCGCATCTCCATGAGGTCACGCAGCTCGCGCACGGTCACCCCGAACCCCCCCTCGGCGTCCTGCTCCATAGCGGCGGTGGGGGGCGCGGGACCCCCAGCCCGCCCCGCGCCACGGCCCCCGCCGCCGCCGCCGCCGTCTTGGCCAAGGGGGCCCGGTTGGGGGGCCCGCGCCCCCTTGGCTTTGTAGTCGACGGAGCTGTTGGCCATTGCGGGTCTCCGAGGATCAGTCCACACCCCCAAGTTCCGTGCGGGGCTGGTGGTGAGCGGTGGGTGGATTTGAGGGTGGGAGTGGGTTATGAATGAAGGGTGAAATAGCAACGTCAAATCGGTGAAAAGCACAACACTTGAATAGGATTCTAATCAGAACGCGTGAGTCCGCCTGTCCATCCCCTTCTGCGTCCGTCTGCTGGGCGAGTTTGGGTGGCGGGTCGCTGTGACCCTGAATCCTTCCTGTGGCCTCGATGGACTTTGGTGAATCGGCCCCTCTCCGCCTCTCTGCGTCCGGGTCCGCGTGACCGCCCGCCTGCGTATCCGTGGGCCTGAACGAAGTTGCCTGACCCACGAGTTGGAGCGGCGGAAGACTGCACTCGGGACCGGGATGACGAACCGCGTTTCAACGAGCAGGCAGGGTTGAGCGGTGGGTGGATGGAGGCGAGGCCGGGTCCACGGTGCGGTCTACGAACAGTGGAACTCTGGGAGCAGCAACAACAAAAATAATAAATCAACGAGGCCGCAGAATTCCCTCCTTCACTCTCGGGCCCTTACCGCTCTCACCGCCAAATCCCCGTTTTTATCACACCACCTCCTCCTCCTCCGCCTACTGCTCCACCTCTTCGTCTCCAGCCAGGCGGAAATTAAAGAGCCAACGATGAAAGATGGAATGAAAGAGAGACCTGGAGAGAGTGACAGCGATGGGTTGATGACGAGGACGACGATGTCGGTGATGATGGCGATGACCGTGGCCACAGCGTGGACACGGGGCGATGGCGACGACGACGATGACACGGCGGGTGCTGCTGCTGCTGCTGGTGGTGGTGACGGGTCCTCATCCCGTGCGTGAGACACTCTGGCCACGCCCAGCCGCGTCGCCTCTCCCCGAGTCTCCCCCCCGCGTGTCTTCTCGCTTCGTCCCGTGTCTCATCTCACGCTGGGCGGCCCCGCTGGACGCGGGGATCAAGGCGGCGTCGGGGACGAGGTGGGGAGGGGGTTTGACAGGATCGAGGGGGATCAAGTGGATGGAGGCTGGATGCCGGCGCGGTGGCCCACTGACGATGATTCCATCGCGAACTCAAGATCCAGGGACCCCGATCGCACCTGCAGCGGCCTGCAGGGGACGAGGGGATGAGAGGTGGTGGTGGGGGGGGGAGAGAGGGGTTACAGAGCTGCGGTCAACTATAATCACCAACTATAAATCCCCAGATATAATGATCAACTATAATCACCAACACGGCAGCAGCGGCATTGCTGGGGATGACACCATTGCATCGTCACTGAGCCCAGGTGTGGCTATCAATGTCGTAAGCAGCAGCAGTCTCAGCAGTAGCAACACCATCATAGTAGCCATCATCAGCAGTGTTGTCATCAGCAGTAGCAACATCATCATAGTAGCCATCATCATCAGCAGCAGCATCAACAGCATCATATTCATCGTCGTCATCATCACTGTCATAATACTATTGAACCACAACACAATCATCATAACATCGTCATCATCATCACCATCGTCATCTCTCTCCGCTTCGTGGTGACGCCGAGTCCATTCCTCGCCCTGTTTATCACGGCTGATCAAACGACACCCACCGGGGAGACAAAGGCGGCCGAGCGTGGTGTTGGCCACCAATTCCCTCGTGTGCTGTGCCGTCCTTCAGACGTGCTACTCTCGCCACAGCACTTGCCCCAACAGCCTGTTCAAGGCTATAAGGAGGATCTATGTGTGTGTGTGTTTATAGTGGAGAGCGGTGGTGCAGCGGTTCGTGCGCTGCGCTACGAACCCGGCGACCCAATTTTTACTTGCATAGTAAAGTGATTGTATATTTTTATTTGCTATACAGCCAGATATCTCGCTCGTTCAGCAGTTCCACTGCTGGATTATTTGTTCCGCCTGAGGACGACCGCTTGTGTTGCGATCAAAACGTCGTGATATATTTTTGTTGTTTTATTTTTCTACCTACGTGACTTTACCGAAATAACCAACGAGTATACAGCCAGATAATATGACAAATCGCTAACCTTAAACACCCAGTCGTTCATAACAGTTGAAGGCGGTATAGTACTATAGTAATAGAGCAAGTGCAGAATCACTGAACCGGAATTGATAGCTTGAAAGCATTTAGCGCGGGGCCCTTTAAAGTGCGGGGCCCGTAGCTACTACACGTGTGCTACTAGGATCATCCGGCACTGGCTGTATGTAGATGCTCGCCAAAAGCACTTGCCCTAACAGTCCATTAGAGGCTATATGGGGGACCTTTGTCTGTGTGGCTATGTGTATGCGTCACCCGTGACCCCCATTCGATGCGCTCCCCAGCACCCGATCCCCCGTGGTGGGGGTGGGGGGGCAGAGGGCGTGGCGAGGTGACACCCTTGACCCTCACGTCCCTCGCCATCATCACCACCACCATCACCGCCATCAACGTAACTACCATCAACATCCTCGCCATCGTCACTACCATCACCACCACCATCACCACCATCACTGTGACGACCACCAACATCCTCACAATCGTCACTAACATCACCACCATCACCACGCCACCGCGACGGTCATCACCACCATCACCATCACCAAAACATCACCACCATCACCAAAACATCACCACCATCACCAAAACATCACCACCATCACCAAAACATCACCAAAACATCACCACCATCACCAAAACATCACCACCATCACCACCATTACCAAAACATCACCACCATCATCAAAACATTACCACCATCACCAAGACATCACCACCATCACCACCAAGGCCGACCTCGACGTTACCCACCGCTCATCTCCTACCGCAACCTCCACCACCACCACAGAAAAAGACAAAGATCCCCCGTGTAGCCTGTAATAGACTGTTGGGGCAAGTGCTGTTAGCGAGCACCTATGAAGGCCGGAACGGCACACGAGGGGATGGGTGGCCAGTACCACGCCCGACCGCCTTCGTCTCCCCATTTAAGGTCGAGTTGAGGGAGGCCCACTGCTGGTTCAGATAATCGTCCCTGGTGTTGGCCGTGAGCGGGACTAGAACCCGCGATGCCGGGTTCGTAGAGCGGTGCGCTGACCACTGCGCCACCACTCCCCACACAGACACAGGACGCATGGCACACCATGCGTACCACACACACACCACACACACACACCACACACAACACACACATCACGCACCACACACACACCACACACACACCACACACACCACATATCCTACATACAGCACAGACACCACACACACACCACACACACCACACATACCCCACACCACACACACCACAAACCACACACACACCACACACACACCACACGCATCACAGACAAACCACACACACCACACACACACACACCACACACACCACGCGTAACACACACACCACACGCACCTCCCATACTTGTGCCGCATCCTAAATGTAAATCCGGCGAGGCCCCCACCCCGCCGAAGATGAGCCACGGGGGCACGAGGAGGTGGGGGCTGGGGGGTGGGGGCTGGGGGCTGGGGGGCCGTGGTGAGGTCATCATTCGGCAGCTTTATTTATTTATTTCGCTGACGCGGCCACGGTCGCCGTGGTGGTGGTTGTGTGGTGATGGTGGTGTGTTGTGGTGGTGTGTGGTGGTGGCGTGTGGTGGTGGTGTGTGGTGGTGGTGGTGTGTGATGGTGGTGTGTGGTGGTGGTGTGTGGTGGTGGTGGGGTGTGGTGGTGGTGGCGTGTGGTGGTGGCGTGTGGTGGTGGTGTATGGTTGTTGTGTGGTGGTGTGTGGTGCTGGTGTGTGGTGGTGGTGGTGTGTGGTGTTGTGTGGTGGTGGTGGTGTGTGGTGGTGGTGTGTGGTGGTGGGGGCGTGTGGTGGTGGTGTAGTGGTTGTTGTGTGGTGGTGGTGTGTGGTGGTGGTGTGTGGTTGTTGTGTGGTGGTGGTGTAGTGGTTGTTGTGTGGTGGTGGTGTAGTGGTTGTTGTGTGGTGGTGGTGTAGTGGTTGTTGTGTGGTGGTGGTGTGTGGTGTGTAGTGGTGTGTGGTGTGTGGTTGTTGTGTGGTGGTGGTGGTGTGTGGTGGTGTAGTGGTTGTTGTGTGGTGTGTGGTTGCTGTGGTGGAGGTGGTGGAGGTTGTGCGCGAGTCTTTAACAGAGTTGATTCTTCGTGGCGCTGCCGCATTCCTGGCCCCGCGGGGAGGAGACTCAACCCACGACAGCTGCGTCCTGCCTCTTCGTGTCCCGTCTCAGTGTCTCCCGATCTCCTGTCTGCCGGCGCAACGCCTCCCATACAGCATCCCAATCAAACCTTTCCCCGTGCCACTATCTCGCTGTCTCCCTGTCCTTCGCCATTGCCAAGGGCACCCAACATGCACAACGAGGCTCCCTCTGCATTAATTCTTCGCAGGGAGGCTCCAACACAGCGGCGGCGCGCCGGAGTGAAACGTCCGAGCTGTGGAGACGGAGCGATGAAATCGGCGGTTGCTGAGTCTCGACGGAGCGGTGGCGAGCGCGACCGCGCACACGAATCCGGCGACCCGAATTCGATTCTCCGCACGCGGCCAAAAACAGCGGCGGTCACCTGGACCGGTCCATGGGCCACCCGCCCAGAGCTCGACTCACGTCTGCAGTGAGAAGCTGGTTTGCGGTGTTGTTATGCATCGCTACTTGGGAGACAAAGGCGGCCTTGGCCTGGCACCGGTCACCCCCCCCCCCCCCCCACTGCCTTCTCGCTCACAGCAACTTGTGGCCAGCAGTCCGTCAAGGCTGCACGGGGGCATCTTTATCTTCGACGAGACTCTGGGATGGGTTGTCCGCCAGGTGTCCCCCCCCAAAAAAAATTCGTGATGAGCATTTGTGGCCTTCCTCCTGTCGGCGTCTGGCAGAAGGAAGGGGGCGATGGCGGGGTACGGCGCCACGAACCGCGACAGCCCAGGCGACGCAGACGCAGACGGCGTTTCCCGTTCGCCGCAACCTCCCGAAGCGTTTTGTCCCGCGTTTTAAATTAATTTATTTTTCTTTCCGCGATTAACATTTGACGGAGGAACAAAAGGGCCCACCCACCCTCACCTCGGCACACGCCGAGTGTGGAGCAGCAGCAGCAGCAGCAGCGGCAGCTTCTGCAGATAGCGAGCGACTGGCTAATTGGCCGATCAGCGCGGAATAATTACAATCGAGTCATCGTGCAGCAACTCAGTTGTAAAATAATTCCCTAATCCGGCATTAAAAACAGTAGCCTCCTTAATTAATGCGCGTAATTGACATTTTTGCTTTAGACTATCCTCCCACCACCACCCCTCCCCCCCCCCATTGTTTTATTTATATTTTCTAGAGAGAGAGGGAGAGACACCGCGACCCCAGGCGCGAGAGGGGAGCGCGGGGTGAAATGGAGACAGATGTAGTCTGCTTAGTCGTGTCGTTAGGGTTAGGGCTCGGGCTCATGCTCGCGGTTGATTGGCTCCTGCAGCCCTTCGGGTTGTGGTGCGATTATACAGCGTGGTTATGATTAAGATGGAGGTCTAGTTGGTGAGTGTGGTTAGGGTTAGGGTGTAATTGGTGAGTGTGGTTAGGGGTGGGGTGTAATTGGTGAGTGTGGTTAGGGTTGGGGTCTAATTGGTGAGTGTGGTTAGGGTTGGGGTGGAATTGGTGAGTGTGGTTAGGGTTGGGGTGTAATTGGTGAGTGTGGTTAGGGTTGGGGTGTAATTGGTGAGTGTGGTTATGGTTGGGGTGTAATTGGTGAGTGTGGTTATGGTTGGGGTGTAATTGGTGAGTGTGGTTAGGGTTGGGGTGTAATTGGTGAGTGTGGTTAGGGTTGGGGTGTAATTGGTGAGTGTGGTTAGGGTTGGGGTCTAGTTGGTGAGTGTGGTTAGGGTTGGGGTCTAGTTGGTGAGTGTGGTTAGGGTTGGGGTGTAATTGGTGATTGTGGTTAGTGTTTGGGTGTAATTGGTGAGTGTGGTTAGGGTTGGGGTCTAGTTGGTGAGTGTGGTTAGTGTTGGGGTGTAATTGGTGAGTGTGGTTAGGGTTGGGGTGTAATTGGTGAGTGTGGTTAGTGTTTGGGTGTAATTGGAGAGTGTGGTTAAGGTTGGGGTGGAATTGTGGAGTGTGGTTAGGGTTGGGGTCTAGTTGGTGAGTGTGGTTAGGGGTGGGGTCTAGTTGGT